CCTTCTCTGGCAAAATATTTAATTTCCTTAAATCAAACCTGACTGGTTTGTTAGATTGGCGTTGATAAAGCAGCTTGTTGTGGAATGGTCTGTTGCACAGCCTCCTGCAATCGCTACCACTTAAAAATGTAAAAAAAAAAAAAATTTCATAGATAAAAGTGCTTTTATTTGTGGACTTTTGCTGTCAGTCTTCTTCACACGGGGTTGTGGGAAAAGTGTTCCCCCTCAGCTGGTTTGAGCCATAGACATTTGGGATGTAAGAAAATATTGATACGGCAATACATTACAATATTTTTTTCCTGCTATATTATATCGATATTCAAAAATTGTGCATCAAATTTTTGGAAGAATTTACATACCATACCATGTATTGTGATACGTATCGTATCGCCAGAATTTCACCAATACACATCCCTAATAGTCATGTATGTAAACATGTTTATATTCATGTCTACGGCTTGAGCTACTGTGGAGCTGTTATCTCCTTATTGACCTTCAGAGGAGGCGGAACATCAGCGGCATGTTAAGTGATGGTGTGAAGGGGCCGTCGGTCATGTTCCCTCCACAACATGTACATTCTCTCTCTCGCACGCACGCACGCACGCACGCACACACACACACACACACACACACACACACACACCTGTTGCTCCACAGGCAGTGCCACCAACCTCTGCTTTAACAGCTAACCTGCTGATTGAAAGCAGCATGTATTGAACTGCTGTGGCATGCAGCTGTTACTGTATGTATGTGCTATTAGCAAGCGTGTGTGTGTTATCAGCCTGACTCCTCTTAGCACCAGATCAATAGTGTTCTCCCCGCGAGGCTCAATGAGAGCCCAGGGAACACCGTGACCAGCTCGCAGGTGGTGATTAATGGCTCCTATGGGATGTAAGGCCTGTTTTAAAGATTAAAGTGAACTGGGAACACTGGTGGTGGCAGTTGTTTAATGTTGTTGTTTAATATTAATGGGTGGCTTTGAGTAGTTTTTATTGTTAATCTCAAATGTCCATCAAAATGTTGTTGTAAATGAATTAAATGATGTCCAGTTGTTGAAAAATATTGGCAGCTTTGTAACATACAATCATAAAAATTAGGTCTTAAATAAATACATGGGAGCGGGTCTAACTCTGTGGGCGGCACCATATTAGATGCCGTGTTTCCTTCTACGGGAGCCCGTGAGGACAAAATGCATTTACTGATTCGTACCAAATGGTAAAAAACTCACCATCAATACACATTTACCTCTTCACTCCAGGGGCGGCGTTAGGCCCGGCTACTTGGGCTGAAGCCCCGGATCTAAATCGCGGAAGTAACATGCAGTACCAAAGTCCAACAGAGAGGGCGCAGCTGGCAGTAGTTTGTATACAGCCTGCCTGAGCCTCCACCACTGAAGAAGAAGCCCTTCAGCAGCCGGCTTCTTCTACACTCTCTGCCTGAAACGCATGAGTGAAGATGGACATAAGGACGTTTTTAGACCAAAAGTACAACAACAGAACCCCAGCTTTGATGAGACTGGTGTTGACTCAGGTTTGTGAGTCTTATTTGAAAATATTTGTTGTGCTGCTGGTTTGCCTAAAGTTAGCTTATCAGGTAAAGTTGTTGGAGAAAGAACGGGAATATTTACTATCATCTCACACTAAACACTAACAGGAACAATACTCTGCCCTGAATATGCTTAATATGTAGCTTCAGATTAAAAAGTATGTGGTACAAGACAAATATATATGATATTGACTAGTGCGTGTCACGTGTGTGCGTGTGTGTTCGCGCTCGTGCGTGTGTGTGCGTGTGTTAAGCCCCGGATGTTCTTCAGTTCTTAATCCGCCCCTGCTTCACTCATTGCCAGTGATGAAAGGGAGTCTGATGTGCTTTCAATTTGTTGGAGGTTATGCTTCAAGGGATTTTTGACCCTAATGGGCATCCATTGGTAATGTGTTACTCAAACACAAAAATACTGCTTGCTTGCAACGACAAATACACACTGTCGCTTTAAAACCAAATCCTGCTGTGGTGAGTTTTGGTCATAAATGAGTCTGTCTCAGGTTTGTTTCTTTGTCATTTATTCATTTAATGTTATTCTTATACATACATAGTGGAACAAGAATATTTTTCTATTGGATATTGTGTGTGTGTGTGTGTGTGTGTGTGTGTGTGTGTGTGTGTGTGTGTGTGTGTGTGTGTGTGTGTGTGTGTGTGTGTGTTTTGTCTACTCTGTACACTAAAGAGAAGAAGATGGAACTCGGCTCAATGGGCTGTCACATCCCTCACCACTCAGCTCAACACTCTGACCCACTTTGCCTCTCTGACTTTGGTGCATTTGCAGCATTCTTTTCCATTTTTAACAAAACACATCAAGCATTTTCTCGGCAAGCTCATGACCTAACTGTGCTCTCATTATACGGTAAAGAGAAGCCACTGAAAGTTTCATCCTGAAGCAAAGATGGATAAAATCAATGCATTCATTTAAAATGAATTTGAGTGTGCTGTTGAGGACATGTGTGTTGTTCTCGCTCACAGCGGGCGCAGATTTGTGTGACGCGAGGCTCACAGGACTGTTAGGTGTCTAATGTGGTGCCGCCAACTGCGACTGGCAGGGCTGTCACCACTGCTCTCTTCATGTTGAATGCTGAACATGTCTCACTCTCATGTGAGCATTTATAGACCGTCAGGGAGCTTGGGGGTCATTTGGGACCACAATTCCAGAAAGACTACACTATTCGCTTTAATTCATGTAGTTTGTGAGTTTAGTTGTGGTGTAGTTTGAATGAAAACCGGTTGTGTTTCTGCTCCACATGACCACCTGGGAAGCAGTGCCTTAGTGTTGGCATGGCGACAGCATATTCATAAATGATGAAACTGCAAACCTTTTGTTGAGAATTATTTGATAAAAATAATTGTTTCTCAGATGTTTCAGTTCTCCGTGACCCACACTGTATTTGTTTTTCCATGTTCATGACAAAATTGCTGATATTCTGTATCATGCAATCCAAGCGCTTATATTTCTGAATGTTTCAAAATAAAGTGTTAGTGTGGTAATCCACCTGAGGAGGGACGGTAAAGGCTGTTGTGTGTGTGAGAGCTGCAGTGTGTTCTGGGCCAAAGGTCATCTCAGAATACGAATAGGAGGGGGAAGCAGCAGCCGATCCGGAGCGGTCTGATTCACAGCACCTGCCATGCATTCAATGAGTCACTTTTAGCTTAATGACATGCCAGCTTCTGCCTACAGGCTCCAGCATGACTTTTTCTGTTTCCTGCTTCTCCATCTTGGTTTTTCCTCCATTTATTCCATCAAATCCATTGTCAAACTAAGACTTTGACAACTCTCTTTTGCATTCTCAAACATAAACTCATTCATTATCACTACATGCACCTGGTTCTGTCAGCTGACCACCTAGCGTTATCTGGAGTTTTGACCCCAAGAGGCAGAGAATTCAGCTCTGTAGAATTATGTCATTAAACACGACACACGCTCCGATGGCTCTTACACCAAGAGCTGCTTTAAGAAGCCGTGAAGTCTGAGGATGGTTGAGATCCGGACTGACAGCAGACAAGCAGAAACCTGTTGTTACCTAGTGGGTGCTTACAACACTCGCTATACAGAAGGTCAACACTTAGCTGTGACACTGACACACAGTGATCCAGCTTATTTTTCTACCTACAGTGTGCATTTTCTCAGTTAGAATCTTTTTTTTTTTTCAGTTTCGTCCCACACATCTTAGGTTTTGTTTAGTAAAACTCTTAACCCATTGCTTGTTTAATTACTTGTATATTGTATTCTGTGTTTTGTGGTAATGAAAACCCGAAGATGAGGAAATCTTGGCCTCTACATGAGGTCTAAAGGCTTGGTATGCCAACAGGATCTGTGTAGCTTCAACTCTTTACATGGACTCTTATCTGTTAGAGTAGTGAGACACCTACTGACTGCTATGGGTCATGTAATGTCACATAAGAAGGAGGTAGGCTCGGGGTTTAGCAATCAAGTCTACAAGTCCATGTTTATCATAAACTAGAAAATAGCTGCGTAAGTTTTTCTCTCTTTGTAGACATTTAGCACTAAAAGCAATTAAACAATTGATAATTTAATTTATTTTGAAATGCTGCACTATGGATGTCATACATACATTGATAAGCCATACCCTTGTGTAGGTAACTTTTAGTTGCCTGTGTATCGTCATCCCTCAGCAACATATGTTCCTGTTATGCCCCCATAGGCCCGCTGTGGTATCTGGCACCCAGTCATCGGTAGCAAACCTCGAGACCCGGGAGTTGGGAGGTGGCCCCTAATGGACTCAAACACATGCAGTTGTGAAGTTGTGAGGATATTTTCAGTGCAAAATTAACTAAACAAAGCCAAGACATAGCTGCCACCTAGAAGAACACTAGATCACATAAGAGTATCTTAAGATCTTGTGTCATAATTACGTCCCTAGATAGATGGTCCCTAGGTATCATCCCTAGGTAGATGGTCCCTAGGTATCATCCCTAGGTAGATGGTCCCTAGGTATCATCCCTAGGTAGATGGTGTTCTTTTCTGAACTGGGGTTTGCTTTGTGCATCACCTGTTCTTGTTTGAAATGTTCTAGTTGAATGCTTTTATTGTGAAGGTGTAGTTGAATGTGTGAAAAGGCTCTCAGCTGCACCTGCTTCATATTTTGGTTCCAAGTCTAGTTTTTTATCTTTCAGGAACTTTAAAACATGTCCCATGCTACCTAACACATCTAAACCCGTGCCACATGCAGCTGCTGGAGTGAGATAATTATTGTTTTTCTCCACCATCATACGTCACACTTTTACAGCTAACTAGTGTATTTCCTGCTATATTGTACTTTAAGTTCACATTGATCAAACTCTCTCTCTTGTTATTTAGTTGCAATATCAGTAGGATTTTTGATCCTGGAGGAAGATCAGATCAGTAATAGGAAATGTCCATTTCTTACATGTGGCTATGAGTAGCCCTGAGTAATCATCCTTTCTTTCTTTTTTCACTCAAACCACAGGACTCTCCCTCAGAGAAAGGCAGGACTCAGTAGAAAGAAGAATTCAGAATAGGCAACGGTACTCCTGGAACTATGCACATCTGACACCTAACTGGTAAGTGCAGCCCTGATCCTGTAGACATTTAGATGTGGTAGTTTACACACATTTCCTTGTCACCTTGAACATGTGGTTCACTCATTTAATCAGTACATTTGCAGTGGTCTCTAGTAGGAATGAATGCCTTGTAAGTCGTACCCTGGGGGGTATGCCTGTTTCAGGATGTAGAAGTGAGTCACATCAGAGCTGAGATTCAGACGACAGTATTTGGACTCTTAGTTCCTGATATTCAGACATCTTGCCTCCGTTTGCTAACAGCAACACAACTCCACCATTGACTCTGTTTCTTCTGTGACATGGATATTTTCTCTCCACAAAACCCATAAACCTGAGAGTTCTGCTGTGTGGTGGAGTTGCTAATGCTAATGGTTAGCTTCTACAAGCCAAACGTTCTCTGCTGTCTCTTGGATGCTAAACGAGTCAAGATGGGTGAGTCCATGAATGTTCATGCTCATGTTCATGTCAGTCGCTGCATTTAAAAACAGCTGAGTGTGTCTTGCATGTGGTGTCTGTAGGAGGATCCCCTAAGTGGTTTTTAGCATGTTTGTCCCAGAGCTACTCAGAAGCATAGATGTGCAGGTATTAGACCAGGAAGGAATGTAATTACAGATATTGGGTTTCATAAACAGACTGGGACTCATAAACAGACAGCAGCTATTGCTTCCTGCACAATTATAGTCTGCTGTCAAACAACTGGAGGCAAGTTGACATACTGTAATGGTGTTTGCTTTTGGTTTGGCAGCTTTCAGCTTCAGAGGGATGTTATTGGTTCTTAAAGCATAGTCCATTTAGACGCACGCACGCACGCACACACACACACACACATGCACGCACGCGCGCATATTCTGAAGTATACCAGGGAGGCCCTAACTGGCCTTTAGTGTTTGACATTTCCTCTATAGAGTTCAGTTATGTGTCTTAGCAAATACCGATCTTCTAGCTGTTTTCAGTCATGATTAGTTGACATTGTTTGTAGTTGAAGCATTAGTCTTAAAGGTGTATAATGTAGAATTTAATTAAAAATTACATCCTGTACTAAAATTTGGTTACTGCAACCGTAATAAACAACTCTGGAGCTTTTTGTCGGCTGTCGTCAAATTGCAGTTATTGGTACTGCAGTATGACGCCTACTGCCCACTGGAAGCAAAGGTGGAACGGTTTACTCACGACAATCACTGCACTGAAGTGCACACCGGGAGAGTCTCAGCAGTGAAGCTGCTTCTCTGCCGTAGTCCTCGCTCGACTTCTCGATTCCTCGAGACTTCAAAGATTACTAATTGTTTATGCAATCCGCCATTAAACCAAAAAGAAGTAAATCACATATATGATGTTGTTCCTCTCCACTGCCAGGATTAAAGCCATGAAAACACACAACTGTACTTCTGGAACCATGCTGGGAGTAAATAAGCTGTTGGGTCACACGTAAGCTTCATATAAATGAAATTGCATCACTGCAATACTTTTATTTTGAAAATAACTGGGGATTTTACACTGATACTGTGTGTCGTTTCTTATCTAGCCCTATGTCGATTGGGGTAATTGATGCATCCCAGAAGCGGCTTAGTGACGAGGCGCGGCGTGCTGCTTCTGGGCCACCTCTGAAAATTGCCGCATCGCGGCTGATTTGTTACACTCAACAGACTATAATGGGTTGTATTTGAAGTGGTGCTGTTTCGCTGCCGTTCCGCACCGCTTTTGCTTCCTGTGTGCAGTAGGGGTTAGCTCGCAGGAGACATGGCAACTCCACACTCACTGATGGTAAGCAGTAGTTACGTCCCTCCTTCCTTTGTTTTGAAAGGGAAGAAACCGACAATCCCAGCAGCCAGCTGGATGTAAAATATGTTTCAGTATAACCTTCCTTCCAAAATGACTGAAACTTTAGACTCTTTTGGGATTTTCTCACTATATTCTTACGTACTGCACCTTTAAAGTTAAAAGAATGTGTTATCAGGTTATTATGCGATTTCTAACAGAAGGCTCATATTTTTGTGAAAGAAAGCCGTTTTTCAAAGATAATTGGTGTAACAAACCTAGCATAATACTACTCACATGAATCCGTCTTGTTTATTTTTTTCTATGAACATTGAGTCTGATGTTTGTATAGCAACTTCTACAACCTTTATGGAAGCCCTAAGTGCTGAACACTATGTAAATATTATATGGACATCATAAGCATTAAAGGGAGGATAGAAAATGTTATTTTAACTGGAAGCCTATGTTTATATGAATGCTAATCAGATTTTGTCACTTATAATCAGGAGATTTGAATTATATTTACTATAGAGTAAATGAGAAATAAAAAGATGCATATGAACTACAGCATAGACATGAGTGGTTCCTAAATAATAAAAAAATGAATGATTGTCACACTTTTGAAACTAATGAAAATCCAGCATTTTGTCATGTGCATTCAGTATATGTTTGCATTTAAAGATACAATTCCTTATTAATGGGTTTAAGTAAATGTTATGCTGTCAAATGTTTAAGGTCAAAATGTTGTATATTCTTATGCTAACACATGTGCAAATGTTTGACTTTATAATTGATCCATTCACGTAAAGGTTTGCTACAGATCATGTTTACGGTGTAGTGAAGGACACCGTGTGGTTTTTCAGTGGCAGGAGGTTGAGTAAGCCGTTTAGTGCCGTGGATCTAACAAACTCCCTTCTCAGAAGATCTTTTCTTGATGCTCAGGTCTAATCTCCTTCTGTGCTGCTTGCTATATAGCGTTCAAATGACAGGCTGTGAAAGTGAACATCCATATGGCTCCTTTAGCCCTGTCAGTGCAATTATTGGCATCACAAATTCAAATGTATTATTATTTATCGAGTAGTTACTTAATCAGGTTGTTATAAAGTAGGGATGCGCAATAAATCGGCATCAGTATTAGTACTGGCCGATGTTAGTCATTTTTTAACGTATCTGTATTGGTTCGATAAATAAAACCGGGCCGATATTAATAACCAATATTTTGTCTATCTCGTCTCCATTTGTTTGCCTGTTTCAGAGGGTGAGGGGGGTGGTGTGTAATTGTTTAGTCTTGTGAACAGTGAATGAAATCATCTCAGAACATAACTGTGTGTGTTGTGTGTACATAATAATGTAAATTCAGCTTTAATAATTTTCATTCTATACAAAATCTGCTGATTTTTAGAAGCATTAATGTCAGTATACCGGTATCGGCAAACATCGGTTATCGGCCATGACAGTGATCTTAATATCCGTATCGGTCCAAAAATTTCATATCGGTGCATCACTATTATAAAGACATTAATCCAGAATGTGCACTGAGCTTTTTCTTCCAGCAGATGGTGCTCTCACAATCATTGGACCACTTTTTATTAGAGCTGAATGCAAAAATAATCATGATTCCTTGTAACAAATTCTCTCTCTGCCATGCATTTTGTTGGTTCAGAGAGCCTGACGGGCTTTACTGCAACTGAGGATGATGAATGGTCTCCTTTGCCAATGCTAGATGGTATGGGAATGATGGACCTCCCCAATGGCCAGTCATGCATCACCAACACTGCTGCAACAGCCTCTGAGGTGAGGTTTCATTTAAGCTAATCTGGGCGCCTTTTCTTTTCCAGCAGCATCTCTTATTGGTTATTATTGTTTTTGTCACCCAGAAGAGCAGCAGCTCAGAGTCTCTCAGTGATAAGGGATCTTCAGAGCTGAAGAAGAGTTTCGATGCAGTTGTGTTTGATGTGTTGAAGGTCACCCCTGAGGAGTATGCAGTAAGTGAACTGTGTGTGTGTGTCTTTTATGTCTGGTTAACTTGAATTTATGAGTGTTAGTAAAGTGTTCAGTAAGCACAAGTATAAAGTGCTGACTTGAGACAGAAGGCAGGGGGAATGACAGAGGAGGAAATGAGGTTTGTATCAGTAATAATTGATGTTGTTTGGCTGTGCCAAGCAGGCACTATTTGAAATCCCAAAGCTTCTTCTGTGTAAACTGATGTTTTATCTCTAAACAAACCCAAAATCAGATCATCATTGTAACAATTAGAACTGTAATTTTAAGTACACCGTTTTTTCACATGAATTAGATTTTTTAAATTGTTAACTTTTAGCCATCTAAAACCATGATTCGTGTTTTGGTTTGAATACTTGTTGTGCCCTGTTCCACCACAAGAGGGCACTGTGTTTTTACATTTCTGTCAAGCTTCTCAAGAGAGATCTGAACACATTTTAAATGAGCTGTCAGTAAAATCTAGAGTTTCTAATAACAAATGATCTCATATCTGTAACTGGAGGAACCTTCTAGCTCATGACATTATCTAGTCATACACCCCCCAGCCTAAATAAGTCACCGCCTGGATTTAACTAAGCAAACAGGTAGGAGCCTCCTGTTGGATAATTACTGCACGAGCGATTATCTTTCAGCTGATGACAAGTTATTTAACCCAAACTGGTGCAGTGAGTTGCTTCTCATTTCTTAAACAACCATGTGGAAAGTCACATCTGGTGGTCGTGGAAAAGATGTTCGGCTGTTAGAGAAGGGTCAGATCATCGGCATGCATCAATCAGAGAGAACCTCTAAGGAGATTGTAGAAACAACTAAAACTGGGTTAAGAACTGTCCATCTCGATATTAAAACTGGTCTGATGAGTCCAGATGCCTGTTCCAGCAATATTTTTCTCTGGTGGTGACTATTTTTTGGGCCAGGCACTGTATTTAGATCAACTGTTAATTTTAACTGATGTAGATCATATAAATGAGCCGGGCAATAATAAAGAAGGTGGAGCACAAACAGCAACCATCTGCTATCATATCATTGTCATTGGGATGTTTTGTCTGGTTTTAATCACGCTAAGACATCTTGTTTGGTTCCCCTCAGGGCCAGATTACGCTCATGGACGCGCCTGTATTCACTACCATCCAGCCTGAGGTGAGCTGCTGTTTTATTACTAAACCTGGTTTGTTGCATTACGTTAATGGCATTTTTTGTGAACTGAACAGATTAAATCAAAGTGACTTCTTACATGTCTGTAATTGTTCCCTTTAAATGTGTGTTTTGTGTAATAAATATTTGTTATATTACCTCATTAAACCTTATTACAAATGCACTAGGTTATAGTCAAACTAAGACAAATACAGGCTGAACAGGAAAAACTTTTAAATGATTCAAACCGCATCGACCATGTTGGCATCTTTTATCCTGTTCATTTTTTATTTAAGGAGATGTCCGTTATAAGCAGTGTCTATAAACGGTCATATAAACTCGTACAAAAAACTAGGATTAAGTGTAAACGCATTCAGATAATAGTTATAAGGTGTGGGGGACTTTCTGAGTCCAAAATAAAGTATGACAAATATTTCTGATTAAGTTCTGCATGACACCAGTTAGTATCTAGTGCTGAGACCATCCCCATGATCTTGTGTTTTTAATATAAATGAAACGATGATAAATTGTTTGGCTTTATATGGCTCTTTTTATAATGAAACTGCCGTTTATAAGAAGGACAATTACTGAAATGTTGGTACCAAGTGAGGCGGAACGATTGCCGCAAAATTTGCACATCGCTATGGCGCATTTATAAGACACGCCGTTGCGGTAACATTTCACTGATTTGCTGGTGCGTGTCTTGTAAAAAGGGCTAGTGGTTACCTGTAGCAGAGGTTTTTAGATACAGAGTCACACGGTTTTCATGCATAATTAATGCATAGTAGGTCAGAAAATGAGATCTGTTAAAAGCCTCTACCTGATGTTGCAGATCAAATGTTTCTTCTAATGTTTTCTTCATAATCCTAAACGTTATCACACATTTCACAAACCCACTGAAACTGCAACAAGTCAGCCTAGAAGTGAAGTCACCAATAAAGTTTTCTAGTACTCTCAGTGGAATATTCTCAGGGTGGAGAAGGGCCAAATACGAATCTGAGACATGCCGATGTTTCACGATAAATAACAAGAAAAATGTCACATTTACTAACTCATAAGTAACTTGTGACAGTAAAGAAGGTGTGGGTGTGTGTGTGTGTGTGTGTGCACGCGCGCGCGGCACAGCTCCATGAGCCGCTCAAGTCACAGCGTCTCGTTATTGACGCTATTTAAACCAATGTTGTAAAATTACTTCTACCCAGCCCAGATGTGCTCACTTGTGCACCCGTGAGCCGTGGTTCCGCTGGAACGCTTCTGACAGACGCACTCTGAACTTCAGATCTTCAGCGCGCTGTTAAAAGAATAATTTCTTGATTTATTTAGTTACATCCGCAATGTTATGTGTGTGAGGTTTACAACGTCAGAACATCTGCATGAGACAGGTGTTAATTACAATCTGCCAGAATGACTCACCACCTTCAGATTCCTCCAACACCGTTAAAAATGATCAAATACGGAACATATCGGCGTGCGCAGGCCAGAGTGCTGAAGCTCGGCGCATTGCTATTATGAAGCTAGGGCACATGTGGAGGACACACTCACATACGCAAAAAAATACTTGTTTCCAATTACATTTATTGGGCCCACTTACTTTTTCTTAGGCCCACCCACAAATGAGTTTCTGGCTACGCTAATGGTGACATATGACAGACTTCTCTGAGCTCCGCAGCCATTACACTTTTCACTGCCCTAGCGGCAGCTCGCGCACCCCTGGGGGTGTGCGCACCACACTTTGGGAATCCCTGCACTACACCACAGTAGGATAATGAACCCGAACACACACAGTGGACCCAGAGGTGCAGACCATCTTAGATTTTCCTCCACGGTCACCTGACCTTAACCCTACCTAACAGTTATGGGCCACTGACACAGATCAACGTTCCTGACTTCATCAGAAGCTGTTTGGGACATCCAGCTCATGGTGCGAAATCAGGGTTGTTGGGTTTAAACAAACCTGAACCTGTCTGTGTAGAATGCTTTGTAATGGATGTGTTTTATTGATTGCCTCAGTCACATGGTCCCAGATTCTCTCCACTGTTGACTAATGGGCCATTCCCATCTGTACCGGGTCGGCCCGGGCCGGGTAGCCCCAGTCGGCCCCAGCCTGGCCCGGTTGATTCCACACATCCTTGCCTTAAGCCCATGTGGGCTGATTCTACCCACCAATCAGAGGCTTGCTCTAATGGAAGGTGTGAATTTGCTGTCAGCAGTGGGTGTGTTGGCCCTGGTCGGCCTGAAGCAGACCCCTCGAGAAGAGGGCTGAGAATGAGCCTTGGTTGGCCCGGAAAAATACCAGACCACCCAGATATGTAAACAACCTACGCTACCCGGCCCGGGCCGACCCGGTACAGATGGGAATGGCCCATTAGTGACCCATGTCTTATCTGTGACTGGAGCTTCCATGCAGAGGCACATGTTAGTCAAACGGAGGAAGACTACATAGTTTTGCTATCTTTTCTCCTGGCAGGTTGTGAGCTGCTTTAATCTGGTGCTTTCTTTCCTCGTTGTGCAGCTGGTGTCCTTCCTGGCGGCAGACACGGATAACCAGGCTTTAATCCCGGCCGCTGTGACTTTATATAAAACACGCCTGATTGCTGCTCTTTATATATATGTAGCTTTTTTTTCTTCAACCCAAAAGCACAAAACTCCCGGCTTCATGGGTCTTCTATCCTTTAATTCAGTACAGGCTGTCTCTTTTTTTGGAAATAATTTTTATTTGAGCTGAAGTTATCAATCTTTGTTTTGCTTTGTTCTTATTTTGTTTGTGTTTTGGCTTTGGCTACAAACAGCTTAAAGTAGAGATGTAAACTGAGCAAGATGGAGATAGAGCCTGTAGGTCTGATTGTGGGGCGTTCGGGGACACCGGTGTCTGCTGCAGGAGAGATGAGGAGCCGCGTGAACTATTGAGAATGACCCATCCAGATCTCTGCTGGTGGCTAAAGGGGCTGATTCGGTTCTTCATGTTCTCCTTGAGCATTTGTCTGGGAAAAGCAAAACTGTGAACTCTGCCAGGGTTTCCGTTGCTGTCCTCCCTCTCCTCCCTGCAAACTCATAATAAGAAAAGCAGGCGTGTGTGTTGAGACGTGCCTGCTGTTTGACTGTTCAGACTGAATAGGAAAATATTAAATAAGAAGATTCCCCGGGTTGTGCAATCATGTTTTTACTGACATTCAGCCTACTTTTTACTTTTTAATGCATAATTTATCCTTAAAACAATAAAATAAAAAAATCCCACATTTAGTGTAGCAAAAAGAAGAACTTAGACATAGTTGTAAATAAGAATCGTATTAATATTGAATAGATATATTTATTCTTCTTTGTTTCTCCTTAGATGAGCGAGTGGAAAGAAGGCAAAGAATGTTCTTGTTTCCATGATGTGATGTGATGTAATTCTCATTTAGTTTAATAGACTTTGAGTGAGTTGACCTTCGGTTGGATGCGACATCTGCTGTAGTTGCTCCTTAAACTCTTGACGTGCCCAGATGTTCATAAGGTTGACCAAATCAAAACAAACAATTATTTGATTGGATTTCTGTATTTTCTATTTTTATTTTTATTTTTACAGATACAATTTACAATATAACAGTTTTGTTGCTGAATTCAAATAACAAACGTAGTTGCTCAGTTGTTTTTGCCCGTCTTCCAGAAACTAGTCATTCTAACAAGGTTTCTTTCTCGTTTCAGTCTCCATAAGTGCATGAAATAACCGTGCAGGAGCGTGTGTGACAAAGAAACTAAGACAAACAGCCTAACACAGTATTTTTTTTCCTTGATACTTTATTTTTTCTGTTTAAGTTGCCAAACAAAGACTGACATAAAGCAGAGGATAATAAAAGCCTAAATGTTCCAACGCTGACATGAAGCAGATGTATGGGGAAGGGCCTGAAAGGTCCAGCCAAACCATTTATATTTGATAACCTTCTGCTGTGCTAGTGATAAAATACACAAATCGTGTATGGATCCATCAAAAAGTGTGGAGATGGTAGAAAGTCTGGCCAACGTCTCTGGATAGGAAACCTTCACTAGTATCTGTCCAGACAATCTGATACATGTGAAGAATGGTGGCGGATATGTGGAGAGGCCATTGGTTTGGTTCAGTTTGGTAGGAAAATTCGAGCTGACCACATCAGTGTGACACATCTTAAATCTGAGCTCATTAGACTTTATCTATTAACTTGAGTGACAGCTCGGTTTGCCCTGTGAGTGAGACAGGCACCAACATCTGTGGCGTGAAAACCGTAGGTCAGCGCTGACCGGTGAACTGTCAGTCTTGTGCTCGGCTTGGAGGGCAGGTATAATCCACGGGAACACCAGGCATTTATTTTTTATTTGGGTAGAATAATGTGTACTGCAGATCAGGCAGATGTTTAATTTACAGCTCCCAGATGAATGGCTGTTATGTTCTTTGGCTGTTGCGTTGCAGAGTGAAATGCCATTATAATGACATATGACAACATGGATCACAGAGAGGAGGGGAGGAATGGATACAAGGGACGCGAGGGAAATCTGATCTAAATTTACGAAGCAGTTATTACAACCGGGGTGAAGCCTTGGCTGATTCAGTTTATTAACAGCAGTCGCTCACCGTGCTTTGAGTTCAGCCTCAAAAGAGGGGGAGTTCAGAGGAGCTCGCAATAAATAAAAGAACAATAGAAAACTTTTTCTCCGCTCTCTGTTTGTCTGATTTTGTAATCAAACACAAAGCTGATGATCTGCAGCTGAACGTTTCTGAAAAAGTGGCTGAGAGAAAACGAGTGAGTGATGCAGAGGGGCCTCCAGGGGGAGGAAGGCTGCCCTTTGTTTTTAACACCCGGCCATGACAACAGCCAAGAGAGTGATTTAGTGGCTTTGGCCGGCAATCTTTGTTCCAACTCTCGAGGAGCAGCAATCAGGTTGCATTTTACATACCACCATGAAGTATTTCTGTTCCTCACATGTCTGCCTGGCCCAGAGCGTGCCGGCACCCCTCTGAACACACCGAGGGTCTCGTGGAGAAAATGATGACA